ATTAGGAATGTTTTCATCATTTTCATCTTTAAAGATATACTGGTCTTTTGACCTTGTGTTTCTTTGTGTAACTATGTTATTCTCAATGGTGATGATCAATTCTCCCAGACTTGAGTCTACCTCTCTACCGCTAGAGATTTCGAAACAATGACAACAATCCCACAGCCTGATGCACGGAATATGAGATTTTTTTTTTCCCATCAGTATATATGCACTTTGACAGCTAACAAAAGCATGATAATGAACAAAGAATTCATTCAGCATGCATAAAATGAATTTTACACATACGAGCGTGCGTGCTGACACACACACTCAGATGCAAATGAGTTTATGATTTGCAGTGTTCTCTTGCTACTTCGCAGTAGATGACGAAAATAATTTGTTTTAGTGGAAGTAATGAGTAACTCAGGCATTAGATAACTTCTAATCTTTTTTAATTCCTCTTGCCAAAGCGACAATAATATGCAAATGTCTAACAGCTGAAACATCTGAATCTCACCTGGTCATGAGTGTTATATGGAAGTGTAAAACCATAGTCGAGTAAGAGCCAGGCATTTGAAAATTTGCCATAACTTATTAAAACCTGAAATAAAAACCTTTCGTCAGCGGCCTCCTACACTGACTGCTTGTTTTCATATCCATCTAAACCTGCCAAGGAAACAAATATGTTGTAGGCAGCCTTGCATACTGGTGGGTCAACTGTCAAGAATCTAACATGTGCTGCACCATTGTATTATCATTATTTCAAGTGTACCAGCACCTTGAAATATCACATTGCAAAGTCCACAAAACTTTGAGGAGTTTACATATGAGTTACTCTCTATTTATATGTCAAATCTGGTTCACTATAATCTATTAGAAGCTTCGCATGGATAAAGGGTCATGAAAAGATCCATTTATCTTTATTCTGATTATAGGAAGAAAAACTTATCTAGGTAAAATTAAAAAGGAGGTTTGGGATCGATCCCTATCTATCTAAGATATTATCTACCACAATTTCATGAAGGGTTACTACAAGGCTGCAACCACTATAAGCAATATTCCGCCTTGATTTACATCTGAAAGCACCACCTTCATTTACAGTCTTAATGCCAACACAATGGCAGAAATAACTATTAGTTGATTCTATATCAAATGCCCATGAGAAGCCGAGCATAACATCATTTTTCAAATGATAGTTATACGTAGTTGCTGTGATTCTTTTACAAATATTGCTAGAGTTGAATTCGCTGAGAAGTTTAGCAGAATCAGCATGGGATTTTATGAAGGTACATGATTTTATATGAAGTCACGCATGGTGATCAAAGTTAATACTGGAATAATATGAAAGTGAAGAAATGCAAGGAAAAGTTTTAGGAGGAACACTATTATAAGCAGGCTGTTCTTTCACTACCATATAATATAATAGGATTTTTATTTACATGAAATCACGGGATGTTTAACATTTACAGACTGCCCCTATTGCATACAGACAAATTAAAGAACCAAAGAAACCAGTCATTGATGACATAAAAATTAGACAGAAAAGAAGATATGTTTTTTCTTGTTATGACCTTCTGTTTCTCTGGTTCCAACTTCCCAATATGTAATTATAGGCACCATACTAGTCTCCCTACTAGTCTCTCTTTCACGAAAAGAAAATAGAAAAATTGTACCTAAATAGCATAATCCTTCTATTGACCTTCACTTAGCCTAATATCTTTCAATCCATCTTCATAAGGTACAGGCTTTCATTTTGGAAAATGAACACCCACCTTACTTCAGAATCAACCGCAGATATCTTCAGAAAAGATATCTCAAGCAGAGCGATCCAACGAAATCAACAGTAATTAAAACTATTGATGAAAGAAAGCAACTAGGGGTTCCCTACTTGTCATTGACCTCTTCACCAACAGCATAGTCCTGATCGGCAATAACCTACAGAGAATAGCAATAATGATTACAAAGACATGAAAGAGAAACTACTACACTTTCTACTTGCCATGGTAACTTCAACTAAAAAGATAAGCTTTGTACATATGACGATTACTAGATAGTGAACTTTCTTTCTCAACTCTGGGATACACTAAACCAGGCCTTACAGGAATGCACATCATTCTGTCAACTAACAGTTTCTGTAGACTTAAATTTTCCAGGCTAGATCAGAAAGATAAGATGGAGGAATTGAAGCAGGTGCTACTCCATGCAAAAGGAGAGTGCAGCCGAGAGCCTTGGTCATCATAACTAGAATGGCCTGTCCCTTAGAACCTTGCTTCTTAGTAGCAGGAGGAATGAAAGTGCCCAAAGGAGATAGAAAAGTAAACTTTGAACACTTCGCAAATCAATAAGGGAGCGGAAACATAACAACTGGAGAAGAATCCTGCTTCTAATGTCGCATACATTCTTGCAAGAACAACCAAAGGGACATAGATGATGAAGGTAAAAGTCCATGAATAACCATATAGAAAAAACTAGCATACAAACAGATTGTAATCATTCATCAATTGACACTCAGCAATAAGTCCATTAATACAGTCTCAATGTGTGTAGATGAAACTAAATTCTGTAAGCTAGTAAACCACTCATAGGAACTAAAACGATCATGATGTGATGCATTTGATTCTTCATACTAATGAGGAATGGCATATATTCAACCAGTAATACACAACAACGTTGAGAAAAATCACTTGAGCCAAAATTGATTCTTCAAATGAAATGAAGGCTTTGACTACTCCTTTAAGGGAGTTCTCACAAAATCCCTTTTTTTTTACCTTTTTTTTTTGAGGGAGTAGTTCTCATAAGCCCTGTGACATGCAACTAAGGCTTTGTTATAGAATTTCTTCAATGTGGTGCACTTGTTAGAATAGACTCTTAGATTACTAATAGCATGAACCAGTCCAGTTATTTATGCACTACATCAAATTTTCCCAACATTTAAATTCGCCAGAAGAAGCAGATTCTCTTTTATTTCAACTTTTTGTGGTAATAATTAGAATTCATTGTTTTCACCACCAACACAAAAAAAAGAAAAAAAGACAAAAAAAGAAAGAAAGATAACAGTACTCATTGAAAAGGTATAAGAGCGTGATGGCTTTTCCTACAGTTTGAACTTCTGCAGTTATGTGCCAGAGGAAAATTGATCAGAACAATTCACCATCATTCCACATTAATAAGACAAATTGGTACAATTCATCTGCAGATTTCCTTGTAACATTCAACATTACTACTTAACAGAATCCATAGTAAGAATACTAAAGGATATTAAAGATTACTCTTTAAAAATAAACAAGAACGGTGCATTACTTTTTCCAGTGAAAATCGCAAAATGCTAATGGAAATGTCTTCTGTTTTATCACTTTATTTATTTTCAAAAAATTAATTTGTTTAATCATTAAAGGAAAGGAAGAGTACAAGTTGAAAACGAACCCAAGTTTTAAAAAATGTCCATAACAGAATGGAACAGGGCTGGTCAGCCTCCATTTTACATCGATAATGCCGATTATAAAGAACAATAGAGTGTTTTGCCAAGAAAGCAAAAAATGAGGCAAAAACAGAAATAGACATAGCAGCTGATATTTACTCTGTGGACACTATTTTGCACACCGACCTGTTACTTTTGTATAAAATGTCACGGTTGGGGGTATTGGTGCAACAAAAGCCATTATTTCCGCCATTTTCTAAACCACGAGGAAAACACCAAATCATAACTCATAAGATGCATCATTATTCTCCAATATAATCATCAATATCTAGTCAATATAGATTTAATTTAAGGAAGATGGAACCTCATATAAATAGAATTCCCAAGCTTGAGTCATCCTGGTTATATTGACAATGAGTAATCTTGTTTAATCATATTCCTTGGTCCAATAAAATGTAGTAGCCTATACAGAGTATTTTCAGATAAGGGGCAAATGCTGCTCAGACCGCAAATCAACAAGGAAATTTATGAATGATGGTTTGTATATGTCCATTAGAAGAAGCAGACTTGTTAATAAGACAAAGCAACAACGATAGAATTTTTCTATCCATTGTTGAGAATTACAATATTTTGAAAATAACAATAAAAAGATTATGTTGTTTTGAAAATATTAGCTGAAGACCATAACAACAGCTTCTAAGACCGCAGTCAGATAAGATCAAGTTTGACAAGTGCACATCCAATGAGAAAAACGATTAAGCTAGAATGATGAATAAACCATGTAATACAGAATAACTCTTCAGGGACTTACCAAGGATATGTCTTAAAGTCTTAATAATTAGATATATTGGTTTATGAATCAACAAACCTACCAAATGAGCTCCACTAAGCCGAGGACTTGGAAAAGTTAATGATAACAAACCTCTGATATTTCTTTATCCTCATTGCTGAGTAAGGTTCCCTCAGACCATCCATCATGATTTAGAAAGTCTGCAAATGGTATCTACATAAGTTACAAAATTAATGAAGAAGCTACATTGGTACATCACTTGCAGAGCTCAAAACTTATGTTTTATAGCACAAACAACCCCAATAATTATCTAAATACTTTAGAGTGTGTCAATACCAGAGAAAGTTCTTTGGATGATGTTCCCCAAGCGCGTGATTCGACTGATTATCAGAAAGAAATAATGCACGAGACAATAAGTTCAACAATAAATTAAAATGAAGAAGAGAATAGTTTCCAGACCCATGATTGCTTACAGAAGAAAAAGCATGTATGATGCTCAAATATGTAACTAGGACCGGATTCATAGGCAGATCTATATTAATAGGCCTGTTAGGTTTTCATGCATTAGATAACCCAGCTATTCCTCAAACCGAAAAGCATGACATAGGAAATGCTAAGGAATAAAAATAATGCATGTGTCAAATCAAAGAGTTAAATAATTTGTCAATAGAATTATATGCTCTAAGAAAATATTGTTTTCAATGGATAACTATCAAATGAAATGATTGTTGACGTCAAAGTGATGAAGCTGGTCACAAAATGTATAATAAGAAGCTTCTGTAATTACACTCAAATTGTCACCACAAAAAGCTGGACAGTGGGAGATGGATGCTAGTGGTGACCCCAACAAATCAATCACAGATGAGTTGAATGGACATAGAGCACTATTAGCTCTTTGAACTTAATTTTGATACTGTATCACAATTTTGTATCTCAAAGAAAACAAGATCAAGCTCACAAAAGAAGAATAGAAATACAGAATCCTGTGTTTTGCTACCAATCATCTGAACCTCTAGCCTAGCTAGCACTTGAATTTACAATAAGATACACTAGTGAATAGATGCTGCATTAACATACTGATAATCAATACTTTTCTCAAAAAAAACATACTGATAATCAATCATGAGATTGAGATGTAAAGGAGAAGAATTACAGAGTCAGTAAAACTTAACATAAAGCTTCCTACCTAAAGCATATGCATGCATAAATTTCTCTAAGGTCACATCTCTGAAGTAATGGGGGAGGTGCCCAAGAGCCTGAAATCATGATAAATTTATATTCCTTAACAAAAATAACAGGCCTAGATCAAATGAATGCACATGAGATTTGGAGAAGGAACAATATGTATGCACCATTTCCATGAATTAGAGCATGGAAAGACAGGGTTCCAGGTTATGCACATAGAATTAAGAAACATAAGACATAACTTTAAATAGTTGTGCGGTATGTGTTAAAGACAATGAAAAGAGGAGAGAGGAAAAGTATCAAAGAAGAGGAACAGAAAACATAAAAAATAGTTAAAATGTCTGTAAAAACTTAACCTCATTGACTATCCTTTAGGAATAAAAATTCTAATATAAGATAGGAGGGGGGAGAGAGTTACAACAAATCGATTATCATATGATTAACTCAATTATTTTTATCCAAACAAAATTACCAACAACCATTTGTACCTAAATCAATTATTATTGCTTATTATGAAAGTTTCTAAATGTAAAGTGATCTCCCATTCTTTCGTCAATAGTTGGCACTGATATACCCCAATTTACTTTTTTTTAAAAAAAAAAGTAGAAGTAAAGATCGGTTTTGACGTTTAGGCATGTGTGAGAATCATATATGTTGTTCATATAAAATTATTATTAGTCTAACATCGGAACTCCTACAAATTGAGTTATCATGTTTTTACTTTTAGGTGGATATCAAACCTAAAAACATGAATTAGAAAACTCCAGGATTTTAATATTAGGTAAGCAGAAACGGATGACTTAGCATTTGCAAACACCAAACCCACTAATTGTAACATTTAAATGAATTGATTGCGAAACTTAAATTATAGATGAGCAAGGAAATTTGGACAAATTATTCCAGGGAAAGAAGAATTATGGGAATAAAGTACCACACTTGCCTACCCCAACTCATATTTAGTAACAAAACGTGGACTAATACCTTTTGTGTGATAGAGAGCATAGGCTGGAAGTAATTGCTTATATTAAAAATAAAATGCTAAGGTAAGAAATTCAAAAGATAATGATATCCAAAGAGTTTATATACAACAATCATTGAAAAAATCAACACAAAACCTGAGAATGTCAATTAACCTTAGCATGCATGACATGCATATGTTGAGTAAAGAAGAATATGCTACAACAAAACCTACTAATGATTTCGATGAACAATTTTCATAACATGGAGTCTACTTTGAATTGGTCTAGGCTATTGGGAAAGTAGCATATAGATGGCTGGAATCAGGCAAGCTCATGACATATCATGATCATCGCTGGTTCGCCATTAGAGTCGACCCAAATAAGGTGTTCTCTAAAGCAGCGGGATCAATAACAGGTTGACAAAACGTCTTCCAACCATTTCCTTGGATAAGCTAAGAGGGAGCTGAATGTATAGCTAAGAAGAGTGAAAGTTGGTTGACTCTTTCGAGGCAGCTCGTTTTGTAGCAACCAATTCTCTGATTTAGAGTTTCCCTTTTCGTGTAACTCTATTTCCATATTGATGTATGCATCTCTGTTTGCCTGTGACAAGTGACCCCCTTTTTATAAATAGCACATAGCCTGATTCAATGGGGCATCAGACCATCTTACTAGGTTTGTCATCCCTCGCTTACCACACAATAAATGTAGGAGGGCAATTATAACATACAGCCCTGACCCATTGAAAAATTATACTTCCATTATTTGCATCAGTTTTAATTTTTGTAATAAAGGACTGTCGTCCCATTCAATGACAATTGTAATTATTTTAACAAATCTCCTTCCTCTTTTATCACAAAGAAAAAGGGAAAATAAGAGGGGAGGCAGCAAGGTCCTTGTGTGAATTGATTGGCAGTGGGATTCAATCTTGGGACAAGCTCCTTCCTAATGAAAAAGAAAAAGAATATTTGGACAAGCTCCTTCCTGATGAAAAAGAAAAATAATAAAAACATGGAAGTGAAGAACAGGCAAATGGAAGAGGAAAGTAGCAGATTTATGAAGAAAATGGAGAAAGAGAAAGATGATAACACAAACATAAAATCCAAAAACAAGATAAATGAGTTTATCAAGTATGCTTTCTCTATTATTTTGTTTCTAATAACACTGTTAGTACATTGAGTTCCTTATCTTACTTTATGATGGACTGTTCTCTGTGAATTACGGTTTTTCATGTCCCTTTTTATTGTTTGGTGTTCATTACTATTTTTAATATAATTCAATGTGGTGAACCTTACTTTATGTTGGAGCTTTTTGGTAAGTCAAGAAGGAAACTTGGACAAACATGCAGTAGATTAAAGAAAGATGAGAAAGTGCAGCAAAAGACGACTAAGATATTCACTCTACTTGGGGGAAATGGCATGAATTAAACAGGTGCATTCATAAACTAATTCAATTTCTTTGGAACCGATGATAGCACAGAACCAAAATCAAATTGGGTGAAAGATATTAGGTCAGACACACACACACACACATGCATGCACACACGTATAAGGAAAAGGATTTGGTCCATTAGATTGTTACAATGTTTTCCCTAGCTCAAAATTATCACTAGCAGTGTTCCAAAAAATGCCGGGTGGCACCTAGGTGGCCAAGGGGGTCCAGGCCGCCCTGGGCGCCTAGAACCTAGGCGGCCCAGTAGAAAAAAAGTCGCTTTAAGGTCATATTTTGTGTAAAAAATTAAGAAATACATATTGAGACATATTTTAGTCCATAATACCATGCATTTCAAATTCAAAAATCAAATTGTCAAGTTTAAACTTCAAACCATTAGCCATTAGAGTATTAGACCATATCCATAGTTTATACCATAATCCAAACTCCATGCACTTCATAGTCCATACCATAATCCAAACTCCATAGTCCATACACAAAAAACCCTCTAATAGACCTATAAAATCTCCAAAACTAAATCTAATATCAATCGGTGATGTTTAGATTGATTTCTCATAACTTTGAAAAACCCTTCGACCCTATAGAAATCACAAAAATCTAGTTTTTTGAGGTTTCTATCTCTCTAAAATGGGCTCTAATGGGGTTTAGGTTTGAAATGAACCTAAACCCCACTTTTTACAATCTTAATTTTATCAAATAACCCAAAAATGCCCCTCAACAACGGGCATTTTCGTCCCTATGCGAGGCGCAGGCCCTAGGCAGCTGCCCAAGGCTAGGCGTTGGGCACCCAACTGGTGTCCAGTCGCCTAGGCGGCCACCTAGGGGCAGGCCACCTATTTTTACCGCCTAGGCCACGGCTAGGCGCCCAGGACCCCGGACCGCCGTTGGAAATCACTGTATTTTCTATTAAAGAAAAAGTATTTCCTAGTTGTTTTTTTTTTTCAAAATTTTCACAATCTCGTTTGCAAATGATATATGGTGAACACTTTAGGAGGAGACCATATGTTTTTCTACACACACGCGCCCACACACAGCCACCCACCCACGCACACTGACACAAGAACACACACTCAGACAAACAAACACACATACACATAGAGTCTCAAAGTGAAAAATTTTGAACAGCACAAACCCCTGAGCCTTCAAAACACCCTATAAGCATATCTTACCAATTTAAGAGCATAAATGAGATAAGGTTGTCAATTGGAGCCCAAAAGACCACAAATGACAAGTGTACCCACTTTAAAACAAAAATTCATGATATACTGAAGATTTGAGAAGCAGCCAAGGTTTAGATAAACTTTAGGAACTTATTCCAGTGAGACATGGATGTCAGTCACTAGTTACTCAATTAGAGCTTTTAGAACCCAACAAGAAGATAATTAAGATATAGAAGGCCCACTAGCTAATTTAATAAATATGCATGCAAAATTAAGAACAACTAAATCCAGATTCTAGAATGACTAACAAGATGGTTAAGTCAGTGACAACCTTTCCACCCCTTCTACAGACAATAAACAAAAAGAAAAATATATATGCAAAGCAGCATATGAAATCCTTGCTATTTTAAGGAAGATTCTTTCACGTAATATTGGAGATGAAACATTAAACGCATTAATGAAAGAACAAGATAAAGACAAGCTATTTGAAAAGGAAATAGAGGTGCAATACCACCCAGAAGATGATATCAACCTGTTGGACAGCTATGAAATCCTTCTCTATGCAAGCCTTGTGATGGATAGTCTCTTGATACTCTGGACTACACCGAACCATATCAAGTTCATCTTTACTCCAGAATACCTGAAAGGTTCTTGTGAGATCCTAGTAGACTGTAACTAATGTACAAGGATAGATAGATGGTTCAGATGAGTGCTGCATTCTAACAAGTATTACAAACCATTCTAATTTTAGAGGGCTAGTGGACGGGTTCAGAACAACATTTCATTTTGACAATCCAGTGCAAAACTAAAATTTGCAGAATAATTGCGGTGAAACAGAAAGCAATCTAGTGAACATAAGGAAAAGGATCTAGTGTTTAAATAATCAAGAATGAGGCAAAGGGGACAAAAATCCATTTTCCATGGGTAGAAATGAAAAGTACGAAAATGAGAAAAGAAAATAACAAAATCCCCCATAGTTAGAGTTCTCGATCTACTATCATTTGATCTAGCAAATTTGGCATGCTAAAAAATAGTGCAAAGATAATATACATATATAAACATGCTTAGGAAGACACTAATTCTTCCTTTAGAGTTGCGTGGGCAGTCTGCACAACAAGAAGAAACTGGAACACTTTAAAGACTCGCACAAGGAACTTGCTTCTGTCTGCATCACCTCTTCATTTTAGAATCAACTGAGAAACAGGTGAAACAGGAATTGCATGAGAAACCATATAAACTTCGTTTCACTCTTCTCGTAGGAAATTGTGGCCAGCAAAGGATATTCTCCTTTCTGGGGCCTTGGAGTTTTGGGATAATCCTCTATTGGTCATCTCAACATTGAATTAATTATGCTTGTGATTATTATTAAAGAATGGGGAAACTAACGCAGTATTAGATGGCTCTACATGCTTGATTCTTGTATATTTAATGATAGAATATAAAAAATACGAATCATTTTACTGATTAAACAATATCATATGCAAAGCATATTTTTCCAACTCCTGCACTCTGTATAATTTTTAATTTCCAAGACCATAAAGCCCCACTTGTCTACTTTGCATCCATAATTCACCTCCATAAGGACCAAGTTTTGCTGACCTTCTATTTTAATCACCGTAATAGGAGGCCATTTTAGTTCTAATATTTCCAAACTATCATTGTAATCATAGTATACGTAACCATCTCACTTGATCATATCAACAAGCATACCGTGCTATGAAGCATACCCATTTGAGGGAGACAACTTATATATGGCTCCCATTCAGATGCCTGCACAAATGAAAATTGATGAAAATTTGCTCTACTGTATAGATTTCCCCAAACATTTTTATACTGTTTCAAACTCCAATAATCAAAACGTCCAAATGGTACAACTTTCTATAAATAAATTGCCAATGATCTTATCCACTTGATTACTCGTGAAGTAAGCAATCAATTTGGACAATACCTGGCCCAGATTTTCTTCAAACAAAATACGCAAAGCAAGTCGAGTATGGCTGCTTGTATCATAACCCAAGAAACGCTGAATTTCTGGCAGGATCTTATCTGATCTTAATTGCTGCAATCCAGAATCATGAGAACAAATAATTTAGGAGCAATACTCCAATGCCGATATGAACCACAATCACGAAAACAAAGGATTTAGAGCAATATTTTGATGATGACAAATTGATAACTATAAGAGGCACAATTATAGAGCTGAACATACAGAGCTGTAAGGAATCTTCAAGATGTAATCTCCAGAACGTATAAGCCTTGAAGCAAATAGTGACCTGCATAAGAATTTGATAGATGAAATGCTACTAAACAAGTTTTAAAAATGTTAAAGACAAACACATGGATGTCCTCACATGCGCCCCTGAATTCGGACAGACAGAGATCAAAACAGACCCAAGCACGCAGACATGCATACACTCACGTTACATCTAACGTGTGCATGAGGTTTGGTCAGGAATTAGCCAGAATATGTAACGTTCTTTCAGGAGAAGCTGTTTTGCTAGAGGATCTTCTTAGCCCATACTTGTTCAAATCGAACACATGCAGACCTAAATGAGACATTTCTTTGTAGGGATGCCTTTTCTTGATGAAATTCTCTGTTAGTTTCCAAGTTTTGTCATGAATAGGCCTTTGACGGTTTTATTGGATTAGGACAAACGATTGTGGTGAATGCAACTGAAGAAGATATGATGTATATAATAAGACAATATTTAGTATATCCTTTTAAGGTCTGTCGACATGGTGGTTGTCTTGGAGACTCGGGTGTCAATAACATTTTTCATTGACTGGCTAATTTAGCATATGTGGTGAAAGGATTATTCCTTCTATTATGTATGATTATGAGTTGGATCATCCACAAGTTGCACCTAGAAAATATTGGCAAGATGTGGTGCACCAGGATATTTACAGCAATAAAAAGGAATACTAGGGACCTAGTTCAACTATCCCTTGGGAAGAGGACTCCTGGAAGCAAGTGGATATATGTACAGCTGAACTTTGATTTGGTACTTCTTTGGAAATGAATATTGCAAGTGTCACTACAGAAGGCTAGAAGCAAGAATATGTCATTCATAACAAGAAACATATGCTCCTATTGTGAAATAACTTGTCAACTCCTTGTATTGTTGACAAACAAAGTCAACCCCTCCGCCTTTGTCAATCTATAACACGCTGGCAAAGCAACCTAAGTCAAAGCACTCTAGAGACGAGCAACGTCTGTCATAGGAGTGAGTATAATCCAAATGAGAATCACCCTCCAAAAGCTTGGAATTAAGAGTCGTATCAGATCAAAGTGAAGAATGCCTTTCTTCACATGTATATGGAATCATCTTCTAGATATAGTTCAGGCAATCCCACTCCATTATTTAGATTCTTAGAATATAAAAAGTTTTAGATGGTTTAAATAGGCTCCATGAACCTGATATGTCCATGTTCGTTTACCACACACATAGAAGCAGTGCAGTGTTACTTGGTTATGTTGATGAATTACTTCTACAATGACGATAGACATGAATTATATCGCATTGAAAACTTTTCTCCAGTCATCATTTCAGAAGAAGAATTTGAAACATGTAAGATATTTTTGGGACTTGAAACAATGAAATGTCATAGAGGATATGTAATCGGTCAGTAAAAAGGGGCTCGGAATTGGTTCAAAGCTACACAAAGCCACAAGACCACTCATTCATTATCACCAAAGAGTTAATACCCATTGACATCAAAATTAAACTTTCTACTATGCCTGGAGATGACTTTTCTCTCTTGATAGGTAATGAATCGAGATAATTTCTTAGATCCAACTCATTACTGACATCTTGTGGGGACTTAGGTATCTTAAAAAACAATAATGCTGGAAATCATTCAATTCTTATTATTAGTCTTTTGTTCTCTAGCCATCATAGACTACATGTGCCAATAGCACACAGGGTTCATCACCAAATCCCAAACTGTTGTAGCATTAACAAGCATCCATTTGCCAACAACTAGCAGCCAGTGCTTGTTGATGTGGAAAACCACGTCACATTTATCATACATTTATAAATTAACCATCTCATAGTCGTGGGTGCATAAGTCAACTAGGATACCCAGCTTCCAATGCCAACCTATCATCAAATCATATATGATAGTTGTTGGTTCACTTTACTTGTATTAACGTCTAGTCAATAGTACATGCAATGACAGTCAAGTCACAGTCTTGCTCCATGGCCTTGAGACACCCTCATGCACATGCATCAAAAGCCTCACAGCACATCCATCTATATATCAAAATACACATGGATGACCATAATGAGCTGAACTTGGGATTATTGCAATGATAATAGAAATCAAATGGATGATTGGCCATTTTCTTTCACGCTAGATCACATGCACTTCCAACATTATGCATAATGAATGCAGCTTAGTCATATATTTATTTAGACAGGGTGTGTGTATGTGTGTATGTGTGCATGTGTTTGTGTGTGTGTTTGTGTGTGCGTGTGAGAGAGAGAGAGAGACACTTGCACAGAATTATCAAACAACTCATTTAGAGACATAACTCAACTGAAATGGGCTGCTAAATAGACGGGCTATATAGAGAACAAATTTTGGAATCTAGACAACTATAGCAACAGACAAATGTTCTCCAAACACTTGAAATCATTGCTTTATAGAGAAGCATGGGTAAGCTGCGAAGCTAGTTAAGAGTTAACTATGCGTCTAGGAGATTCTGTTGTATGTCCATGTTTTCTAGAAACACCACGTGTCATCTCCTTGCTTCTGTAAGGCTATTTTAAACTAATGTTTTTTTACTTGCCTTGGGCCTCAGACTTGGCCCTAGCCCAAAGCAAGTAACTCAGCCGAGTCCAAATGGACTCAACCGAGTCGTGTACATGGCCAAAAGGCCCTAAACATTTTTAAAAATATTCAAAAAATTTGTTTAAAAATAATATAAAAATTGTAAAACTAAAACAAAACCAAAGTCAATATAAAAAGTCTAAAATCCCCCTCCCTCCCTAAAACTAAAACAAAACTAAAGTCAATATAAAAATTCTAAAATCTCCCTCTATATATATATATAACATGGATTTGGAAAGGTTGGACCCTCTCTCTCTCTCTCTCTCAATATATATATATATATATATATATATAGTATATAGATATAACTAGTA